AGGTTACATCACTGTGTTGCCATAAGTACCACTAACTCTACTCAGAGCACAGTAAAAAGTCGGCTTCGTCCTCGGGCTGGGCCCCCGAGATGGTGAGGGTGGCTTTGTTCCCAGAGATGGATCCGGAGAAGCGACTGGGGACCCCAGAGTGACGGCTGTTTGTGTTGTAGATAAGAGCTCGGGGAGCCTGGCCTGGTGTCTGCTGGTACCAACCAGGGTAGTTACTGGAAGTGACAGACCCAGAGCTGAGGCCGCAGGTGAGTGTGACCGTCCCTCCTGGAGACACTGACAGGGATGGCTCCTGGGTCACCACAGTCTGAGAATCCACACCTAAAAGCGACAGGAGAGAGACAGGGGTGGTTATGGAGACCAGGATCACCCGACACCTGGCTGTAGACACCACAGTGTCCCGGCCCCTGACCTGAACCATGAGCGAGGAGCCCGAGCAGAAGCACTGTCCAGGCCATGGTGGGGACGCTCCCGGGACGTGGCTCCTCAGCCTCCTGAACTGCACTGTGTGGTCCTCGGGCCTTTTCATGCCTCCCAGACCCACTGGGAGGAGAAGGGGCTTCATGCAAATTAGCTCCCTCCCTGTCCGTGCCCAGTGTCACCTGATGTCCCCGGAGGGAGGTCTAGAGGGAGCAGATGCTGTAACCTGCATTGATCACTTGCTCATCGGGGACACAAGGGTCCTGTTGGCAGCGAGGACCCTGCAGATTCGCATCCAAACAGATAATCTCAGGCCTTCTCCAGGCACCAGGGTCTCATTCATTTCTCCCATGAGGCTACCTTAGGGAGTTTAGGACTAAGTGTGGTTGGAGGTTGGAGAGGCAGAATGTAGAGAAGCTCCCAGGGCCCCAGGAGCCCCTCAGATACAGGAACAGGACTGAGCAGCGCCCCCTGTGGGTCCTGAGTGATGCGGCTTGACTCAGGGAGCAGGTTCCTCTGGGCTGAGCCTTTCTTTCTGAGAGAGCAAGGTTGATGTGGGGTCATCCTGGCCTCCCATCTCTGCTTCCCCAAATCCATCATCAGCCACATAGACGGAAACATAGCCTTGTCTCTGCCCATGTTCTCCCTGGGGGTCAAAGTGAGTCTTTCTTCCTGAAACGTGGATTCTACTCCCTCATGGGTTGAGTCATTTGTGCTCCTGTCAGCCGTGATCACAAGTGAGATTGTCTTACAATTTTCAGTTTCAGTCATCTTTTGGTTAGGTTGGGCTCCACTCATTTTCTGGACCAAGAAATCGAGTTTAGCCTATATGCCCACAATTGTATACATAATTTTTAAACAATTTAAAATAACGACCTGGACACTGTACAGGGCAGATCCGTCAGCAGCTGACCAGGCCACTGGAAGGAGGGGAGCAGCTGCAGGGAGAAGGGCCGCCCCACCCCTGTGGCCAGAGGACAGACCATGAGCCACTGCAGACACCCTCAAACCCCCTGTCCCGTCACTTCCCCTAAAGGACCTTCTTGGTTGAGGGAGTGAGGAGGTGGGGAGAGGAACCCAGGACATGCGTGCGGGGGACCCCAAGAGACTGGCTTGCAAGGCTTGTTGTTGGTGTGGAGACCATCCCTCCCCACGAGTCTGTTATCCTCTGTCCAGATGTGACTGTAGGTCCCGACCCTCAAGCAAATTCAGTTTGTCGTGTGATTGTCCATGTGTCTTTGCCGGGACATCAGGTTTGGGCAGTGACTCCTGGACAGAGGAGGAGGAAGCATGAGGCCGGTGTGTTCCTCAGAGCTGAGAGCTCGCAGGTCTCCTATGGGCCCAGGTGCAGGACAGTCCCCATTGAGTGAGGACACGGCTGCCCAAGTGGGCAAGAGCCCACTTGGCTCAGACCCTGAGCTCTCAGGACAGTCCCACAGCGCCCCCTGCTGGGCGCAGAGCCACATCCTCCCTGGGTCACAGCCAGCCTCCTGGAAGGGCTTTCTGACACCTGCAGCTGGGTCTTTCTGGTGACACCCCCAGAGCAGTAGAATGTACCTTTAAGACTAATTTGGAGATAAGGCATTAATTTTCTAGGTCACTAATGAATTCCAGACCTCTAAATGGACTGTCATGTGCCAGTAATTTTAGGATTACCTCATGTCTGAGTTTGCTTCTGCCTTGCTCCTTGTTCAGTATCAGAACATGACCTCCTCGAACCTAGTTCCAGGCTGAGGACTCCCAGTCCCCCGCTGGGTGTCACCATGTACTGATTCTCTCTGACTTAGGCTCACAGGTGGCCGTGTGGCGGAGGTAGTGTTTGTAAGGGTCCCCTGGCCTCCCACACCTGTCCTCTGTCTGTCTTTGCCCTGAGTATATGATGTCTCAGGAAAACATGTCTGTTTCTTGATTATTTCCATGGGTCTCAATTCCCCTTGACTGTGGTCCTGAAAGTACTTATTTTTGACTCTGATATGGGTGAGATATTTTCACTCTAGCTTTGGAATCTTTCTCAGCAGAATGCTTGACAGGAAAGATGAGGGCTGTAAACTGGCCTCTCGTCCTTTTTAGGGCCTCCTGCTCCGGTGCTGGGTGTAGAAACCCCATAGCTTGTCACCTGATCTTCACGAAACCCAGTCTAGTTCACTTGTTAGACCCTGGAGATTTAATGGGGGAGGGTTTGTAAGGTCCGTGTCTGAAACAGGGATAATTAGTTACTATTGTTCCAAACTAAGACCCAGAGATGGAAAAGTGGGAGG